AAGCTTTCATACACGTCCAATCGCAGGGCTGTTTACAAACGGAAAACGGAGAGACTGTTCGGGAGAGCTCGTGAAAACTCGACGATAAGGTATCTGACCGCCCCTAAATTTTTCTCAACGGATTTAGACGATTCACAAAAATGATCAATTTAAGAAATAAAACGGCGGATTTCCGCGGAAAATTGCCATGTATGATATTGGTGATTGTGCATCTTTTTCAGAAAGACGTCCATGAATGAAGAGGAAAAGCTGAGGACGGAGGGTCAGAGAAAGCTTAGTGCAAAGGTACCACCATTCCTCAGCCTGGGGATGAACGCAGTGTCCAGAATGATTTCGCTTTGTCTCCATCAGCATCATGATGCTCACCATTCCGACTGTTTGACCTTCGTTTAGGCTGCCTCCCTCCAGACCTCCTCGGACGTGGCCTCATTAAAACTTGTGCATTACTTGCAGAGCAGAGTCAAGCAACTCCGTGTCGAGAACCAGACGTGGGTGCCAACAGGACCAAACCTTCCTCCAGTGAGTGCTTTCTTCTTCAGTCTGGTGACACGTTTCTGTGATCAATCAAGCATTTTCCCTGTAGTGTATAATTGCTACTCAATTTTTCTTTTTTTAAATAGCACAACCATCAAGAGAGTAGGAAGGCTTGAGTCCCCCATTCATGAGGTTCAACCGCAAGATAAGAAACGTCACATGCTTACCAGTATTACTGTCTTTAAAAGTGTTTCTTTTTCATTTTCATTCAACGATGAATCATTCATTCACTGTTGCCTGTACTTAAGATAGCAGGTCACAGTGACCAATGACACAAGCAAAGTTTTAGTCATCTTTTGAACTTTCCTCTGTGTCAAGGTTTTATGGTTCAACGTGCAAGAGTTTTACAGATTTAACATGAAAACTCTCATAAAACTCTTCTTTGTGGGATTCCCTTATATGCTCATAAATGTTACGTAATGTTAAGATGGTCCATGCAAAGGCCAAATGGTACAAAGGCACAATATGTAACTTACATACAGCTTTCGTAAGAAACATTTCATCAAGGAAATGAACTCGCTTTATTGTTGTATATATGTTCGTTGCTCCATGTACAGCACTTTGTATGCAGCGATGGCTGTTTGAAAGTGCTCTATAAATACAGTTGAGTAGTTTAACACCAGAATCGGGATTGGTGTCCGTCAGAGTGCCAAAGGATGCTCAGTTTTTCATACATACTGTTGTATAGCACATTTTTGATAAAGGATGAAGCACACTTTTATTAGAAAACAAATACAGAGTCAACATGTCTCACTTGAATACTGCTGCAAACATGCAGGGGGAAAAAAAAACAAAAAAATAAATAAAAAGGAAATTTCCAGGATTTTCTAAATTCTTCAAAGCCCACAAAGGATACTTGCTCAACAAAAGGGAAATCTGATCCTTCAATCACAACAAATCCAGCTTTGACACAAAGTCATGCACGTTGTTGGCCTGTGTTGAACATTGAGGAATCACATTCCGATTCATGATGGCAAAAGGGTACAAAATCAGGGGCTGCTCACTGGTGATTAACTAAAGACACCTCCAAACTGTGTAATGTTTACCAGACTTTGGCAAATGCTGAGATCAAACTTCTTCCTCTACCCTGACACAGGCTGTGTGAATGACGCTATGAAATGCAAACAAGGCATCATGACAGTTGTCTGCGCTTATATTCAAGCTGCCAAATGTCACCAAAGCAGTGGATGATTCCAATAATTTTCAAGTGGCCAAGCTAGCACTCGAGCAGGAGAAATCCAGATGCGTTCGAGCAATCTTATACTTTCTTACATTTCCATGTCCTCCTCTCCACAGCTTTCTGCGACAGGAAGGTTATGAAGAGGACAGTGTGTGTCGGCGTGGGCGACGTGCGGGGTGGGCGAAGGACACGGAGTGGGGGTCGGTCGCAAAACAGTCTGTTGTTTCCTCTGTTTCTGTAAGGAGCCTTTTAGTCTGCGACAGAAGGGGTCTTCGGGTGGCCGCCACAACACCAACTCCATGCAGGAATGGCTCCTAAACATACGGAGGGTCAGGAGTTAGTGGCAAATTGAAATATCCAGCGACCGTTTGTTCATTTTAGATTTCATTCAGCAACTTGAAAGCAGAGGAGAACATACACAGATTGGGCGACTGTGTGTGGCAGAATGTCGCTGAAACCTCGTTGCAGGCCTTCCTTCAAACTGTCCGAGATGACCAACACCGGCCTTCGTTGCACGGGCTCCACATCCAGATCCTCGTCATCGTCCTCTAACGTTATTCTGCTCAATGATATATCAGTCTTAAGGCGCTTTACATGCAGCACTTGGTTTTCAAGGCGCCCGGCTCAGGGTAGGGGGCAGGAGAACTTATGCGAACTTGCAAATATTTGTCACGTTTGCTCAGCAACCAAACAGGAAGTAGCCGTGTGCATTTTCCTGCTGGTTTAGATGTAAATTAGGCCGCAGCTTGGCAAGGCTTATTTTTCACTGTCACAATGGAGAACCCCGGCATTGCTCAAACTGTAATAAACAGGAGACATGATACCAGTGAAAAAAGTGCGGCATTGCTAAATTTTATTGAAAGCGAACAATTTTATTGTTAAAAATGTGAAATCACATTTTTATCATCAAATTGGTGCGGATCTCCATCCGTCGCTTAACCACATTTGTCTTGTTTCCCAAAGCTCATGACACTGGACCAACACGCATGATTTTGTTCCATTTTCTCTTTGCTGTTTTAACTGTACAGCTTCACTATAACCTGTTGCCACTCTATCGATTGATCAGTGATTGGGGACGTCTACTGTGGTAAGCACAGTGTGACAAGGCCTTTAATGATGTTCTCGTGTGATACTTTAACTTCTCAAACTTGCAACCACTTACTAAGAGTGGGGGAGGGGGGCTACCACAGTAGTTATACAGTACATCCAATATGCATTCACAGCCCTTCACTCTTCCATATTATGTACACCTTCTTACAAAATGGAATAAAATGATTTGATTTTCTTCCTCAAAATCTTACACCTTATGACAACTTTTTTTCCCCTTTCAATTTTTTTTTTTTGCAAATTTAATTTTTTAAAAAAAGTAATTTTTAATCATCCACCTTTGGCAGCAATGACTTTTGTCATGCCACAAGTTTGGAAAGTGGGAAACTGCAGAATATGCAGTAATACTGCAGCATCCAAAAAAACAACACAGCACAGGGGTAGCTAACTAGCATGATTGTTCACTTTTGTCATTTCTAGCCATGTATTCTCAGATGTTAAGACATCAATATTTCACATCATGGTTTTGTTGACCAAAGTAATGAGAATATGCATGAAGAAACACAGACGATTACTAATACACACACCAAAAGCATTCCAAAATGTTTCCTTTAGAATACAAGAAATACCTTATCAGTACCCCTATAACCTTTTGGCATTTTATTATTATTTCTATTGTAAACTGACAAAATGAGAAGTCGTAGCAGTGTTACGGAACAGACTGAGACCTGCTGCCTTAAAGTGTAGAACACACGTCTTTAAATGTAAATGCATTTCAAGTACACCATTTCGCCGCAATGTTGCATAGTGCATACCTGTTTTCAATTTCCTGAAGTCTCCTCTGTGCTGCCTCGATCTCCATGCAGGAGCTCTCCGTCTCAGGTCGGGATGGGGAAGAAGAGGACAGGGGAGTCAGGTTGTGAGGGGCTGGGCAAGGCTGTGGTGGAGCATGGGTGGCTTCTTGGGTACACAAAGGAGGACAATTATTTGGAGCAGGCCATTCAGGACTCCTGGGGATGTGTGAAATGTCCAACTCTGTTTCCGCTGTTAATCTCCTCCTTTTAGCAAGACATCCACTGAGAAAATAGGAAAAAGGTATTGGGGGAAAAAAAATCGAACAGCCTGTATGATAACCAAGCCTATCTTATACATACTCATCATCAACTCTCCTCCTGTGCTTCCTGAGGCACCTTGTCTCCCAACTGCTGTGACAGAGGACATATATTGCACACATGATCATTTGTTGGCAGCAAACTGTTGGGAATACTGTATGCAAAAAAAAAAAAAACTAAATGAGTTTTTACCTGTTTGGCAGCATTCCTCTTGGTAAATGGCCAGATGTACTTGGAGTTCCAAGATCTAATTCAGGCAGGCTTGTGGACCCCGAGAACGTGTACATGCTTGGTAGAAAACCCGCCTGGCTGCTTGTGGGCGCCAAATGATTCATGATATGGTCCAGTCGGCGAAATTAGCATTTAAAAAATGTAAGTGAAATGTGAAAAGATAACTACCGTTTTGATCCGCGGAACTGTCTTCTTATTACTAAGCACTTTCAAGTAATTTTTGCCACTTGAGTGTTGGTAAACAAGTCAGAGAGATGTGTCCAGACCGGGCCAACTCTCTGGATACCCGCTGCGCATTTAAACAATACCTCTGAGAATATCTGGACAAATATCTGCAGCTGTGACAGTTACAACATGTCACAAATCATAACATCATCCAGCTAAATTAAGACCTTTGGCGGACGACCAGGTGCAACCAACTGCCCTTCCCCTTTCCGCAATGTTGTTTTGTTTTCTTTTTTTTTTTGCTAGCTCGTCTCCGTTACGTTCAACACCTGGGTAATAAAATGAAATAAAACACTAAACGTGCACAACCTTACTAACCTATTAAAGTGACCCCACTTGCAAACAGCGTCCAGTGTATGGTGGCCTTCGCAGCGAGTAGTAAACTTACTGCTAGGTGGACATAGCACGGCAGCCAGACGCGCCGGAAGAGTCGACGAGATTCTGGAAACGGCGCAAGGAACGATGGGAGTTGTCGTTGTTGACGAATAGACAGCTGTGAGAGCAAAACATGTCGTTCGTCAAAACGCGCAGAGTTGATCTTCCGTTACCGCTCTGACTTAAACACCATCACCGTGCGTGAGACATATCAAAACTTTGCAGAACGTTTAAACAAGACCGTTTGGCCCAAGTTCCGGATGATTGTCGAGTTGCTCCTCTCTTATCTCAAACTGCAGGTCACGTGACACCGTTGAGCTCTTCATCTGCCCAGCTCCCAAACTTGTCGCTCTACTCTGGACTGACGCTTTTCGGAGGTAACGCATGACTCGACATTGTCAAACGCTTCCACACGTTTGACATAAATAACCTTTTGGCTATAGGCCACATTTGCATGACATCATCCATTAGTTGTTTGTATGCAAGATGTTAGTGGAGATTTAATGAGGCGTGATTGATAATTGAACGCGTACCGTTTTCCCCTCCGGTATATGAACACTTGAGGCCATTGTGTTGTTTATTCGAAAACTGTTGCATTATTTGTTCGAACATTGAAGGAGATTGATGGTGCTTTTTTCCGATTTTTTTTTTTATTTTGTCTTTTTGAAGGTAAACCAGGATGTATCATTTAGTTTTTGTATTCGGGCTGCTGGCGTTGGCCTCCAGTTTACCTTGTGGTAAGTGAAGTGTTATATACACCATCGTTCAAAGTGATGCTTTGAAATTTCTTTTTTAAAAGACAATCATCTTTTTAAATACATTAACTGTTTCAGTTCTGATTAATTTGATGTTCTTGGAAAATTAAACATTGCTCAGAATAAGATCTAGGACCGCCCCCCCCCAAGAAAAACTTTACAGAATTTTGCTTTTGGCGTCTGAACTTGCGGAAGAATCTAGGTTAAAAACAAACGTGACTCACTGTTCTGGATGTTCCCCCATGTTGCAATTGCCATATGAGTGTTTCCCAATCTTTGAGCAAAGGCGCATTTGACATTTAGAAACTCCTACAGCACACCACCAATAGAACGACTACTAATAATAATAAAAATAATAAAACCACAACTAGTCCCAAAGTTTAGAAAGTTTTTCATTCATTAATACTATAGAGTGTGTCCAACCATTTGATTGTACTTGTCGTGGAACTAGCTGCAACTTGAGCTCTTGAACAATCTGAGTTCCATCAAATATTTCCCTTTTCGAAAGATAATCATGTTAAATTTAGATTTTTTTTTTTTAATAGAGTTGTTGATTATTGTGGTTGTTGTTTGTACTTCTGTAGAAGGTAAGTGAAGTGTTATATACACCATCGTTCAAAGTGATGCTTTGAAATTTCTTTTTTAAAAGACAATCATCTTTTTAAATACATTAACTGTTTCAGTTCTGATTAATTTGATGTTCTTGGAAAATTAAACATTGCTCAGAATAAGATCTAGGACCGCCCCCCCCCAAGAAAAACTTTACAGAATTTTGCTTTTGGCGTCTGAACTTGCGGAAGAATCTAGGTTAAAAACAAACGTGACTCACTGTTCTGGATGTTCCCCCATGTTGCAATTGCCATATGAGTGTTTCCCAATCTTTGAGCAAAGGCGCATTTGACATTTAGAAACTCCTACAGCACACCACCAATAGAACGACTACTAATAATAATAAAAATAATAAAACCACAACTAGTCCCAAAGTTTAGAAAGTTTTTCATTCATTAATACTATAGAGTGTGTCCAACCATTTGATTGTACTTGTCGTGGAACTAGCTGCAACTTGAGCTCTTGAACAATCTGAGTTCCATCAAATATTTCCCTTTTCGAAAGATAATCATGTTAAATTTAGATTTTTTTTTTTAATAGAGTTGTTGATTATTGTGGTTGTTGTTTGTACTTCTGTAGAACTTCCCCCGTGTCTTATATTTTAGTTACCTAATTAGGCTATATATTAAGATTTAATAGCCTTCTATATGTATATTATATTGCAAAAAAGTCAAATTCTCATGCCTTAGTTTCGCCCGAGTGTTATTGCTGAGGTTGCAATTGTGACTGTGCCACACTTTGAGCCTTCATGTTGATGTCAGCAAGCTGCAGGTTCTGAACCGCTTTTATGAACGTTGCAGCATTTTTGTATGTTTAACCCAGATACTTCTGGATCCAACCATGAGCTGCTGCTTTCACTCAATAAAGATCTCCTACGCTCACTGGAGGAACCGGAAGGACTTCCTAATCCCAGTGTCCACTTGGCATTACGGCTATCAGAACTCCACAACCTTTTAAAAGAGGGGGAGCATTTAAATAGACTGACAAGTCATTTACACAATGACATTCAAAGGTAATTTGCCAGAATTGCCACTTTTTGAATTGGTGTCCAATGTGACCACGCGATCAAAATGTTTTCCTAATCTTGCCATGTCGTGACCTCTGTGCTCCTAAGCTTCCTCACTGGCAATCAACCTGTGGTTGGCCGCTTGGCATTGTACACTCTGGCCTTGAAGTCATCTTGCTTTGACCTCAACACAATCACCTTCACGGTAGGAGACAAGAGTGAGACTCTGCTGACGCACCTCAAGAAGCAGATGGAACAAGAGAAAGAATACATTACATGTATGTTCACTTTCTTTTTTGGGTTTAAAATGCTGTTCAACCAGCTCGTCATTATCATTGCCAGAGTGTAGGTCTTTTTTTAACTTCAGTAGTTACAAAACATCTTTTTTTTTTTTTTTTGGTCATCTTCCCCTCTGTAGTCAGCCAACGCCCTTTGACCAACTATTACCAGTATTCATTGGGTGTGCTTGCTCTCTGTGTGAGCGGCGTCAGGGTCAACAACCACGTCGTCCACAAACTCATCAAGGCAGTTGAACATGAGCACTTCACGCATGGAGACAGTGTGAGCATTGGTGGGTGAACCTGTTTTGGATGTCTGCTGTCATACTTCATGCTTGTACTGGGCGTAATTGTTAATTACAATTTTTGACTCACAAATATTTCAGTTAAATACAGATAATTCCATATAATAAAAGTGCCATTAGCCTAAGTTCTGATAATTCCATCATACATCTCCCGTTTCTGTTTTATAGATACATATGCCATGGCTGCAATGGCCCTTCAGTGTGTGAAAAATTCAGAGAATTCTTTTTGTAGTGCAAAGAAATCCAGTTGCACAATACACAATGCTGCCGAGCTTGACACGGCCCTGACCAACATTAAACAGAAGCTGTTGGTGTCACAAAGGGCTGATGGTCATATTGGCAATGAGTTCAGCACTGGCCTCGCCGTACAAGTACGTACCCATTTTATTTTTTATTTTGTGGGCCATGTTACATTTATGAGGTTTTCTTGTAGAGTTAGCATGTTTTTATACTTTCGTGGATTTTCTCCACATTCCAAATTAGTCATATTAGGTTAATTGCAGTATATAGAGAGGTATAAAAGCCATCAGTTTGTCGATATGTACTCTGTCTGGTTACAAGGTACCCTGCCTCTTGCCCAAAGTCAGATGGAATAGGCTCAAGCTGACCCATGATGCTAATGAGAACAAATTCCATAGAAAACAGTTGCCATTTAAGATAAGATAAGAAAACCTTTATTAGTCTCGCAATGGAGAAATTCCAAACCAGAATTGTATTCAACCTTGGAGGTGCTGTTTCCTGTTTACGCATCATGCAAAGCCCAAATCATCTTAAATGTTGTGTTCAGGCTTTAATAGCAATGGGCAGCCCGGTGTCAGAGTGTGCCACTTCAATGGAAGCCATGAGGAGAGATGCCAGAGGCAACAAATACCACAACCCCATGGCCATATCTCAGGCACTGCCAGCTCTGCAGCAGAAATCCTACTTGAGTGTTCAAAGCAAGAACTGCATCAATGAAGACAGTATGTCCCGTGCTATTCTTTTACATCTGTGGTCTAGTGATTTTTAAGTTAGTGTTTACATGCTCACTTTTTGTCTACATACAGACACATTGGCCCTTGAGCCCGTCGACCCTGTGACCGTGTTGCCCAGTAAAACCAATGTGGCGGTGATTGTGGAAGTGGTGACGTCATCTGGGACATCCAGTCTGTATTCACTGGATGTGCCCAAGGGAAGCTCTCTGTTGGAGGCCTTTAACCTCCTCAATGGAAAAAATCTTGGCTTCACGTGAGTCTTTTAATTCTGTGTGACTTATTCCAGTGTATTCTTGAAATAATTTTAAATGCTATGTGGAGCAGTTTTGAGACTGAGTCAAGCCTGTGGGGACCGTTCTTAAGTGTGGTGAATGGAGAGCGGGCCAGACAGGGTGACCGCAGATACTGGCACCTCGCCTCTGATGGCACCGCTCTCACTGAAGGTGAAAACAAACGTGCATGTACTGTACAGTCATACACAATACAGAACTAAATTCCATCTTTTCTTTATATAATATGCACTGTTTCTGTGTTTCAGGTATCAGCGATTTCAAATTGAAAGTGGGCCAAAAGATCACCCTCAAAAACACAAGCTATTAATGGTACCATTGATCATGAGTGATCAGTTTGGAACCAAAACAACTTTGATTTTCTTCCAGTACAATCATATGTAAATTGCATAAGTGATTAAATGTTTCTAATGGTTCCTCAGTATTATTGAATTGCAAATGTGTTTGACTGCCAGTTGTGCCACACATGAGTACATTTTAAAAGAATACCATTCTGCAACAGTTCATGTATACATTTGCATTTAACAAGTACTGTATTGAGAGCGCTTATGGATATTTTAAGACCTGGGGATTTTATTTTTGAATGGCCCTCGAAACGCCCTATATAAATGTGGTTGTCGTCTAACTCCGGGTGGTGGCCATTTGTAAAGCTTGCTGCTGCTATTTTTTTACATTCAATTTTTGATAATGTAATGAAAGGTGAGAATTTCATGTTTTAATTTCCAAATTAAATGGGGGGAAAAGAAAAACTGTACAGATGACGTGGACAAACGTAGCCACGAATAAACCGGAATGTTAGTAATTATGTAAGAATGCGGGGTGTTTTAACTGTTAGTTTCAAGCAGGCTTTTGCGATTCAAGATATCGTGTACAATAATGGTTCATTTTTATTTTGAAACTTTATACCGGAAGTATGCAAGCTCAATTTCTTCCGGGGCAATCTTTGTCATTCATTCGCTACCTCATTTCGAAAGATGTTATCCAATAACCACACATTATAAAACTTGTGCTGCTACATTAAAACAAATACATTCCGTTTGGTTGAGTCAAGTAGATGAAGACAAACTTTTTTGTAGTTAGCATGAATGTGAAATGTCTCACCCCTACGAGAACGACACAGCAATAGTTGACACGAGTAGTGTCATTGCTACCTAGCATAATGGTTTTCCTGCACCGATGCATTCTCAGTCGGTTTTACGAATCAAAACCGAAGGCAGGTGTCCTGCTGCTCCTGAGACGGTGCGAGACCCGTGATACATTTTCCCAAGAAGTTACTCAACCAAAACATAACCGAGGTACCATGGCTAAAAGAACCTTCTCACGGGTAGCAGCTCCAAATCAGGATGGACTGAAGAGGGTTTCTATTGAGGGGAACATTGGTAAGATCCGTCTTCGAGATACAGTATTGTGTGTTAGCCACCCCAAGAGTTGCAACAGTTCCTGTGTGTTATGAATTCTTAGCAGTTGGAAAGTCAACCTTTTCAAGACTCCTGGGAGCAGCTTGTCCAGACTGGGAGGTGGTTTCAGAACCTGTCAGCAAATGGCAGAATATTGTCAGCGGGACCTCAAAGGTGCGGAGTGTGTAGTTTCCTCCTTATAACATAAAAAAATGTTGAACGTGTAATTCGGGCAGAAATTGCTGGTGAATGCTGACGCACTAACGCTGAATGGAACTGCTGTGGAATTGATGAAATGTACAATGTGAAACGCTTGATGTAATGATTTCAATCGGCAAATAAATGTGAAAAGAAGTAAATACAGTATGTAAATTATCTTTTACTCTTGGCAATTTATGGTGAAACTTTGGAGAATAATGCACGAATGATCTGAACATTTTCATGTTGCAATGTAGCATATGTGGATACAATCACTTCAGATTTTAAGAAAGTAAAAACGTGGCTCAATAAAAAGTTAGGAATCGAAATGACAAAATTGTTATTTCGATTTCATTTCAAAAGAATAAACCTTGTAAGACCACAAAACATTGTTATTATTATTATTGACATTTTGTACAAACCCACAGTACAAGGTATTTTGATTACTCGGCTGGCAACCAGTTCAGGGTGTCCCCATCCTACTGCCTGAAGACAGCTGGGATAGGCTCCAGCACCCCCCACGCCCCCCGCGACCCTTGTGAGGATAAACGGATCAGAAAATGGATAATTGGATGGATTATGGTAACAGTCTTTGAAAATGATGAAGAACTTGAGATTTATTGATGTTGGAGATTCAAGGGATAGGAATACAAAAGTTTAGACTCTATCCTCCTTTATGAAGATATGCATACGCGAGTAAATTGTGACCTAAGATTGAGTTGACTGCTGAATTTTTGTTGCGTTTGTTGAATGTTTTGCTTTGTTTGTATGTTTGTGTGAATTGTCTTTCTTTCTCTTTTCTCACAAATGTGCATATACGGGTCATAACAGTTGTTCCTATATTTTACACATGTTCTGGAAATTTTTTTTTTGAGAAGTTTGAAATGGGTCAAAAAATGAGGAAGTAAGTAATATTGTGAAACAAAATCAAAATGTGTGATGATTTCTGCTGCTTCCACTGCACAGGAAAAGACTGTGAGCAACCTGCTGGAGATGATGTACCAGGATCCTCAACGCTGGTCGTACACCTTCCAGACGTACTCGTGCATGAGCCGCTTCCAAACGCAGCTGCAGCCCACACCTGCGCGCCCATTCCACTCAGAAGGAGCGCCAATGCGGATTTACGAGCGTTCCGTCTACAGCGACAGGTCAGTTAGATGCTTGATTACACCCGAGGACTTGTGGCGCTATTTCGGCTGGTCACAATGTGAGCTTTGCACATAATCTAATAATGCGAACCTAATAGCATATGTTAAATATGAGTTAAGATGCAAAATCAACCTGTTTTTATTCATCTCAGGGTGCGGCCATATTGTCTTTTTTTAAATGATTTCTCTTGTGCTTTTCCTTCCCAGATACATTTTTGCCCTGAGCATGTATGAACTGGGTTGTATCAACTCGACAGAGTGGGCAATCTACCAGGACTGGCACTCGCTGCTTGTCGATCAGTTTGGACACCGGGTGGCGTTAGAAGGCATCATCTATCTCAAAGCGCCTCCTGAGGTCTGTGCAAACTCTTGCCATTGAAGGTATCGGGTTTGCGCTCTTGACAGCGTTTCATTCCTGACACAAATGTATTTGTCAGAAATGCATGGAGCGCCTGCAGCGGCGAGGGAGGCCAGAGGAGAAGACTTTGCAGCTGGACTATCTGCAAAAATTACATGAGCAGCATGAGAAGTGGCTTGTGGAGAAAACAACCGAGTGAGTGAACTGGTACTAAGTGACTCGTTCATACTTTAGAATGACGTTTTCTCACTTGTGTTTCAAGCTTAAAACATTAGAACCACCTACGGTTAAATCTAGACTTCTCTGATAGTGCCAGTCAAAAGTAAACAATATCTTTGTGACGGCAGAATTTCTGAACTGGACCTCATCGGATGTTGTGATTGTAAAAAAGAGTGGGTTTTTGTTTTTTTATGTGGCAAAAGTCGAACACTGGCTCCACTATCTTCTCCCAGGATCCATTTTGAGTCGTTGAAAAAGATCCCCGTGCTGGAGCTGGATGCCAGTGTGGAGTTTCAGAGTGACCCAACAGCACAGGAGAACTTCATCAGACAGGTGAGATGACGGGTTTCAAATGGCTGCTGCTGTGCAAAGGTTCGCCACAAGAGGGCCCTATTTGACGTTGGAAATCCCGATTGTCCATTGTTTGCAGCGATTTTGATCCTTTTCATCTTTCCTCAGGTGAAGGATTTCTTCACTGCTTTACGAAGAGAGGGTCATTCGCACGTGCCAGTACAGCAGTCAGAACAGGCATGTGACATGAATCCTGGCAGAGATCCAAGCTCAATGACTCAGTCTTGAAACGGTGGATAAAGAAGCTAAACTGCAGTTACTGTTGGACCGCACCCTTTGAAGCACACCTGTTTTTAGTAGAATGTTTACTTGCAGCAATTTGTTCTGTTACATTTCATCAGGTATACATCTGCTAACTAATGAGAGAAGAGCTGGATCAAAAGTATGCCTTTAGACAGATAATAAAGCTCACTTATTAATGGACCCACCCTATTTCAATACACGAGAAGCCAGAAAATATTAGAAATAAATCTCTTCGCACTACTATAAACTGCAAATACATGACCACGATGTGTTTCAAACATGTCTAAAAGTGTCAAAAGTGAGCATTATTATTTTTGTAAAGGAATATTTTGGCTCTCATTAGTCGTCTGCCTAACACTGTAATAATACACATCGAAAGGGATCATCTTCATCACTTTTTTTGAACTCGTCACTGTTGTTTGGGGTATTTGCTGCATTGAGTTTTCATGTGTGTGTTTTTTAAATACATTCCTCAACTCAATTCAACTGTATTTGGAGAGCACTTTCACACTAACATATACAACAGTAAAGTAACAAATCAGTAACAAAGATGGTAGAAAGCACCTGGATGTTTTTGTCTTAATAAAGTTTTCTCTTTTTCACTTTGGTGGTCTTCTCCTACTTCTACTTAACATTGAGGTGTTAATGGCTGTATGGCATCGTAGGTGTTAATTGTTAACCGATTGCTGCTTGTCCAGCGGATTAAGGCTTTTGGGTGACTATAAAAGCTGAGGGCGGTGTGACAGGACAATGACCTTGGCTAAATAGTTTTGGGTTTTTTTTTGTTCTGTTAGTGTTGGTCTCTGATGTGCTCTGGTGATCAGAGGGCCCACTGGGATGCCTGGAATGGCCAGGGGTCATCAAAGGGCGGCTGTCTGCTATAAAGGGGCCTGTCCTCTCTTCCGGCTGCACATCACTTCAACCTGAGACTAGCCGAGGAAGGGAAGGAAGGAGACCTTCACCTCTCGCTCTTGCAGTGTCACTCGAAAATGGCTGCCTACGTGCTTCTTTTCTGCTCTTTTGGCCTGGTCTTGTCTACGCAAAGGTCTGAGTATCGCGCAGGCCCAGGGAGCAGCGTAGCCACAAGGAACGTTTCCCTGCACCCTCACGGCAGGTTCCCTCTGTACATGATGCAGCTCTATCGCTCGTTCAAGGCGGCTGACGTCTCGTCAATGGCGGCCGTCGTCACCGGTGACAGTCGGCCGGCTCGAGAGTCGGACTCCGTCGTCAGCGTTATGGCAAATGGTGAGTCAACTGAATGGTTTTGTATTTGCTCCTCGTTTTTGCAGCAGTTCTCTGACTACTGTTATCTATGATCTGACCCCCACAATCACCCCTGCCCCCTTTTTACAGCCCAGCAAGTGTCAAAATGGTTATTCCACTTTAAAGGCTTTGTCCATTTTACGTGTGAGGGTGTGTATATTAGCCCTCAGACGGCCTTGCACAGGGGGGTTCAATACACATCCTGTCCTGTCCCTCCGCGGTGTTTTGACATTTGTCCGAAGATCTGGTTTGTCCAGTCACCAAGCCTGCATCTATGATGGAAAGCCCTTTGAGCATTTATTCAATAGCCTTAATGTTAGCCAGCTGAACGTCCATGTGCGAGGACACACTTTATCTTCACCAGTAAGCCAATTCAACACACTTGGAGAACAACAGTGTCTTCATAGTAAAGGGTTTGCCACTACTGTGGGAGATTTTGGCAAATTAACAGGTTATTGAGGCAAAACTGTACACTCGTTCACATTGGCACGCAAGTACTACGAATGACCGGGGTCATAATACTGTAGTTTTGTATTTTTCATGATCGTCTTGATTTCGTTTGGACATTTGTTTTTTAAAATTTGTGAAGATGAAGATCAGACCTGGGCCTGAAGCTGGATATTCAAATTTAGATTTTTTTTTTTTCTCAGGTTATCATCAAGCGGACAACAGATGGATCGTGACCTTTGACATGTCGTCTCTTTCGACCAGTGACAGAGTCCATTTAGCAGAGCTCCGCATCCGATTGCCTGCCCGATCCGCACACAAGCGGGCTGTGGTGGATTTGTATCACTCCCGGAATTGTGAGCATGGGGAGGGTCCGTTGTGCCAGGACGAACGCCTTCTCCTGGGGAGTGTCAGCGCGTCCGCCAGCAAGTCTTCATGGAAGGTTTTTAACGTCACAGCACTTTTGAGGTACTGGCTCTACCAAGGAGACAGAGTATCGAGCTGGGAGGTCTCGGCAGAACCTGAACCTGAGCTTGGGAGTGGTTCTGGGGATTTTGAGCAGATACCACGCAAGTTTCTTTTCAAGAACCCAGGAAGGCAAAGTATTCGGGCAATGATGGTGCTCTTCTTCAAACATGACCTCCCTCAGGAAGGTCACTCGGCCTACAGCCTGATACACACCGTGGAAAACTCCAAGTACGTCACCATGGACCGAAGCAGCGGCGAAAGCCAAAGTCGGCGCCACAAAAGGAACAGGATGGAGAGGGTGATGTTGGCGGCCGGCGGCGGCGGCCCCACCGTGGCACCGGAGGGCATGCAGCGGCCCCTTTGTCGCAAAGTTGACATGTGGGTGGACTTTGACCACATCGGCTGGGACGAGTGGATCGTGCATCCAAAACGATTCAATGCTTATCGCTGCGAGGGGGAGTGTCCGACACCACTGGACGAATCCTTCAACCCCACCAACCACGCGTACATGCAAGTAAGAAGATTTGACAGGTTGGTTCAACGTGATCACAAACAGAGCTGCTGACTCATGTTTTCTCTCACGTTGTTGTTGTTGCTGCAGAGCCTTTTGAAATACCACCACCCGGAGAGGGTGAGCTGCCCGTCCTGTGTACCGACGCGCCTCGGCCCTCTGTCCATGTTGTACTACGAGAACGACGATCTGACCCTGCGCCATCACGAGGACATGATCGTTGAAGAGTGCGGCTGTCACTGAGCGCCCTGACGAAATCGCCTGCTCAACCAACATTGTCCCTGGCAAAAAAGGGTGGTGTGACATGAGGATCATTAGCCATACAGGGTGCTACTCAATACTTGATTCTGTCTTTACTATTTATACTCTATACTGTATATTTTGTACATAAAATATCCCAAATTTATTAAACATTTATTTTGACATCAGTGTTGTGCTTTTTATTTTCTGACACATTTGATTATCCATCCCTCCCATCCATTTTCAACACCGCATATCATGAAGAGGGTGACGGGGTGTTGGTGGAGCCTGTTCCATCTGACTTTGGGCAGAAGGCAGACTACATATTGAACTGGTCGCCAGCCAGTCACAGGGCACATATAGAGACAAACGACCATTCACACCCGCATCCACTGAAATCACTGAGTGGGAACCGATCCCACGCTGCCGGCACATCAGTCAGACGAGTGTACCACAACACCGTCGGTGAGAAATGTTATAATAAGGCACTCATTGAAATAGTTAATAATCCTAATTTAACAGTGGCTGGCCGTGCATTTGATAACTCGGCCTTCAGTGGGTGCTGACCATACCGACTTAAAATACACCGCTTAATACCACCACCACCCATGTGACAATTACAAATTATCACTATTATACAGAAATACAAAACAAGAGAATGCCACAATACTGTACATAATCTAGAGTAGTTCGAACCAAATATTTATCTAAAAAAAAAGAAATTAAATCAAATACATCTGTCACCAGAGATGCTGATGTTTAAATGTATTAATGTGTGCAGATCAATGCAGATGCCTTTGCGATGGGGGTTTGGGCGATCGGGGTTTGGGCACTTGTAAGTTGTGAATGTTAACCCAGAAGTGATACAGTAGTGCAAATGAATTCAATTTTATTTTCAGCATTACAAACTAATGTCAAGAATTTTAGATCACTGGAATTCAAGTGCTTGACTTCCATGCAGTACCCACTCAGCGACAGTGTGAATGGTTCTCTGATTAAACATGCCCTTTCTCCATCCGGGCATAGAAAACTGCTGGATGGAAATATTTGAGCTTCAGCAAACACACAAGCAATACACACCACACTGCAGTGGATGAACTCTTTCTTCAGTGTAACTTGCTGAACCAGCTCAAAGATCCTAATCTGTTTCTTCATCCTCCTGTGAATTGTTTGCTGGGGTCACATCATCGTCATCATCATCAATCCTCAGTAGGCATCTCCAGCCTCTTTTGTTGATTGTGATCACACATGCTGGCTGCGATGGATCAATGTGGCGAGGAAGAAAAGCAGTAGCACTTGTTTGTTTAGACGAGGGGGTGTCAGGAAGCAGAGGTGACAAGGAGAGAGTTGAGGCCAGGAGGCCAATGCGGGGGCCAGCACAAGCGTCTGGATGCGGAGGCTCCCATGGAAGGAGGACAGGATGGACTGGAAGTGATCACACGAAACTGTCCAATCCACACCTCACATCCAGCAACACAAATAGACAGAGTCATCTAACCGCTGACTGTGTGCCGATTGTTTTTGTCAGTCACGCAAGGTATCTTTGAATAAAAGTGTGTTTTGTGCTTTATCAGAAACGTCCCAGTTTCGGCTGAAATACTCGTATAGTTTCAAGTGTTCAAATCATGTTCTTAATGTTTGAGACCATATTTTATGCTGACATGGTGGCTGTGGGAGTTGCCTTTGTGTATATTGACCTTTTCTTCTGCGCGCGGGCTGCTGAATGAGCTTATCAGTTGGTGGTACGCTCGTTGAGGAATTCTGCTGATATGACTTGTGTGCAGGAGACCTTGCATTCTCCCAAACACATCTGAAGTTTTAATAATAATAAAAATGACCTCATACTGTGTAGAAATCAAACAAAGATAAACTCAAGGTCAAACGGAGGTAGTCTTTGTTTCTGAAAAATACTTAAGCGAGCAAATGTAAATTTGTGTTGCCCCTTGGAGTTGGTATGGCCCCATTGTGTATTGCGACCAATGAAGTGAAGCAGAAGCAGATTGTTAAATCACAAGCACACACAAATGTACAACGCAGACAAAAATGTTGAATTCAATTGTATTTTCTTTAATGTCGTGACTCTCACAAAAGGACAGATCAGATTCAAAATGGCACTCTTTTGGAAATGAACCCGGATTTAAGCCTCAAATGACATCTTGCACATTTCAAGACTGAAAGTCTGAAAAGTGAAAGCGTGTGTGGAAATAACTGCATATTGCAGGACATATTATTGGGAAATGGTCCCTTTTCATTCTGATTGTCTCATCGTTTACAATATGCTGAGCGGGCTTGTTGGTAAGTGTACATTTTCAACTTAAGAGTAAGGCACACTTGTTTTCAGCCTTTAGACTGATTAAGGTTCGATCACAGATTTGCTCTGGGTGGGGGGGGGCTTGGGGTGACTGAAAATCATCCATCTTCAGGAAACAGGCAGTTGGACATGATGGTAGCCCGGGGCCTCTTTTCACAGCATCTTGTTGGTACGATTCACATGGCACCAAGACCACTCAGATGTCCATTTCAAACTGTGCATCATCACCTTACAACACACATAAACACAGGCAGTTTGTTTTTTCTGTGCGCACAGGAACTCGTGTAAAGAAATGAATACACAAATTATCCTACAGTTGTTTTGTGAAGAGTCCAGTGAACTTTTTGTCAAACTGAAGTACATATCGCAGTTCTCTTGAACATACCAGTGGTGTTGCTTGCAGCTGCAGCGCTGTTGTTTAGTAGTTCTCCATCGCTGGCCTTCTTCTCATTGGTTCCTGCGGAGGGGGGACTTGTCACACCGGGAATGTCTGGAAGGCAACGCGGAGGGGTCTTGGCCAGAGGAGAGCTGCGACACCCCAGCAGGAACTTTCGGTCATAGATAATCCTGGTACCTTTAGTATTGAAACACAAATATTCAGTCAAAAACATTTGATAAAAAGAGTCCTCTTAATGCATGCTAATGAAACATGAGCCTGTTTTGATCCATTGAACCTTTTTCTATTGCATTTTATCCTCTCCCCATCGCCACTCTCAGTTGAAGGTTACTGTCAAACTAAACATAAAACAAAGATAATTTCACATTGTCTATTGAAAGCAAACAGAACCTGCAGCTACCTGAATGCTAACATAGGATAGGAAACCACATACGCATGTTCTAACAATTAACATCTAGGTGGCAATGGTGTTACCATTTAAGCAACACAAACGGTGCTGCAACACGTGTAGACAGGCCATTAATATTCTTTCTCCTCCATGAAGTGCGGAAAAACAACAAATCTTTCTCCCAGAGTTATGTTTCTCTGTGATTGAGGTGGCTTGCTGGATAAAACAGTACACATACAAATGGGACAGTAAATTTTGTGGCCAACCAATTCTTTTGGCAAGCTTGCTCTGATATTGCCGACTACAAGATGCATTTGTTCCATGTTGATAAGGTACAATGCATATTGATAGAATCTATAGCAGTGGTCTTCAACCATCGGTCAGCGAACTGGTACCAGGCCTCGACCTGCACTAAGACAGACCTGCGAGTATATTTTGTCCATCAGACGGGCAGAAATGTGCGCGACTCTGGCCAATCGGAGTCCGTCTAACATTGGTTTGCAAGTTGAAATAAACAGAATCTGCCAATAAATGAAGGAAGAAACAGTACACAGAAAGCAATAATAATAAACTGACCAAATGAAGAGCAACCATGTCTTCCAAAGATGAAGCTATTTTGATGAGAGAAGTTCCTACACTAGTGGTCTCGCCAGAGCGATGCGGAGGAGGAAGCTGTTGTGCGTGCTATGTCGTGAAAAACAAGACAATATAAGAAACCCGCTGAATCATTTGAACAAGGAGCACCCAAGTGATCAAGAGGAAAGCATGAAAATGCGAGCAGAGTTTGCACAGCCTGACCATGTTAACATTCGCAGTTTATGCTAATAACTAGCCAGCAGCCACAGGATGCAGCAATCAATCATGTCATCTTTTGCAAGTAGCAATGATGCTAACGCTCCATGTAGGATCATAACTTCATAAATGATAATGCTTACATTCTCAGTCGTATTTATTTTTTCTAATTGGTCCATTTCTCAGTAGTTAACTGTGTTATTTTATTTTGTTGTGCAGTAGAATGTTGATAAAATGTTGAATTACTCTATAATTATCTTTGTTGTCAGTAGCAGTGCTTTAAAACTGGCAAGGGTTGCCGGTGCGCAAACAACATGTACTTGTCTCGACCGGTTCGTGACACAAAAAAGCTTGGGGCCCACTGAGCTATAGCACTGTGTTGATATCTACTGTGTTGGAAGTCTCTCAAGTTATGATGTCAACATAAACAAGCAAAAGAATGTAATCAATAAAAAGATGAATTGATTCACTGATAGAAAAGAAAGAGGCAGCAGTGTGCACTCATGGTTTGCGCCTTATAGTTTTGAAGCTTGGGGCTGGAATATCTGCTCCAGCGTTCCTGTGTGGAGTTTGTATGTTCTCCCTGTGTTTGGGCAAGTTTTCTATGGGTACTTTGGCTTTCTCCCTCATTCCAAAAACACATTTGGTAGGTTAATCAAAGAGTGCAAATTGTATGAGTATGTGACTCTATATGGGCCTTGCAACAGGAGGTGAGAAACCAGACCACGGTGTACCCACCTCTAGCCAAAAGTAAGCTGGGACTTGTGACCTGAATGATGATAAGCAGTATAGTGAGTTGATGGATGGAATAAACACAGACTGAATAAGAACTCACCAACTAGCTTTACACATTTATTTTAAATTTGATTTCTTACATTTATTCAAGGCTAGGGAGTTTAAGTTTTTGAAGTAAAACTAAGAAATGGGTAAAGGTTAGTCTTAAAGCTGATGTTTGTGTATAAACAATTCCAAAATTGAAATAAGCAACAACCGTAATAATTTATAATAGTGTGTACAGCGAATGGATGAGTAGACAAAATTATTTTCCTTGCGTAGTGAAATTGTTGATGGCACATTCCTCCAGACAACATAGTGACCGGAAGTGACGTCATATCAACCGGGTCGGACAATCGATACAGCCCATGCACTATCAAGATAACAAATCCACTATATCATTTTCACATTACTTAAAGACAAGATTTAAAAAAAAAAACATTTTTCTTACTACTGCCAGTTTTCTTTTCTCTTCGACTGATACTCTCCTACTTGCACAGTTTAGTAGGACATAACTTTGGCTTTTGTAGTAACGCGTTCAAAAAGAGAATAAATGTAAAAACTAATAAAAGTTTGCTGCTCAATTCGAACCACGTCGTCCCATAAACGACGCTCTATCCATGAACCTTAGCAACTAGCATTAGCATAGCTTGCGACAGTGGTAGGAACGCTCTTCGATCCTATGTCTGCAACATCCATATCCACGCTCGTGGGGAACACTAATTAAGGTATTGACGAATAAACGTACGTACCACCAGGAGTGGTGCTGAAAGCGGTGCCTCCGGGAGTAGTGGAGTAATCTTGGGGCATGTGCTCAGCATCGTGGATGGCCACCATCCTGCTCGACGGGATGGCCGTTGCATTGCTCGACTGGCAGTCGGTGGACATGTTCTCCAAATAAGACGTTTGCAATATAAATGGGATAGCGCTAACTAAAATCTGCTTTAGCTCAAGTAGACCAGGACAATTGAGTATCCGCCACCACGCCGTGCCTAGGATACGAGTATTCTCGCATAAACACAAATAAATACCGGATATCCTTAAGTGCAAATAATTGGAATACGTATGGAAAAAAGTCACATTTCAATGAAATGCGCACACACACGGGTGGTTCAGGTTCTTTGTTAAAAGGACCTGAACGCGTCCCCTCACTTGCACGCACACACGCGCTCACAAAAAAACAAAAGCACCAAACAGCCACACAGGGAAGCTAAGTAACATCCACACGTGGACACGGTGAGACTTCACCGCCTCCAAGTGGCCAAAAGCCATTCCAGCACTCAGTTTGAACAAACAGGGTTGGAAATGTTAAGGGACCGTCAGGGGCATCATTCAGGATCTCGTCTCACGCGCACAATTTAATTTCTCCCTCGATATATATTAGTAAAACGCTCTCATACCCACCACTGAAAGGCTAAAAAAATATAATAATAAAATGAAAAAAATAAAAGAAGGGGAAAAGTATATCCTTTTTTTGCCCACATTCACGACTGCTCCAAAAACATGCAGGGTAGGCTGATTGAACACTCCAAATTGTCCCGAGGTGTGAATGTGAGCGCGGATGGTTGTTCATCTTTGTGTGCCCTGCGATTGGCTGGCAACCGGGTCAGCTGGGATAGGCTCCCCGCACACCCGCC